ATTTGGGTATTTCTTAATCGCTGTGAATATAGTGTGGATGTTTGTTAAGTTCCTGAAAAATGAAAAATATTCAGCTTTATGGATGTATGGATATTAAAAAACCAGAATGGTTTTGTGGGAATATCAATCTAAGGTGCCGTAATGGTTCTGATGTTTGGAAACGAGCAATATCTATGAACTTTTTGGTAGAGCCAGTCATCAAGTAGGTGCTTAAGGGCTATCTGCAAGAGGTTTATAGGAGAAAACACCCAGTAGATGATCTTGAATCAGTAAAATCGCATATCAATTGAAGAAAATAATATAAACATGCATAAAAGTCAACAATAGTAATTAAATCATGAATTTTATTCAAAAATCAAACATTTGTTTAAATTTTGACTGAATTATATGTAATTTCTTAATATTCAATAAGCTGATGATGTTTCAATGCCAAGATGTCAACTTTGACAGTATTTTGTTTTCAACATTTCATAGCTATTGGTTGCTAAAATTTGTTGATTGGAACTTGAAGCTCATTCGCTGTATTTGACGGGCTGTTACCCTATAAGTGGAGAATAATGGACTGTTGTTGGTAAAATTGGCCCTAAAGGTTACAATTTTATCTGAAATTTGGAAAGATAGAAAAGAATTTTACAACAAACTTTTGTAAATTTAGGAGAGAAAATTAACAGAATGAAAGAAAAAATGACATTCTACAGGAAAAAAATGAACGAATAAAACAATATTAGGAAGATCTATTCCACACCTTGATATCCTTTAAAAGGTTTAATTTTTTGTTCAAAGAATTTAGATGTTAAGTTTTGAATCACATATTTTAAGAGAATTTTGTTATGTTTTTCTATATTTATTTAGATCAAATTTAAATTCGTATAAGTTAAGTTTTAAATTGTACAGTGTTTTCATTTTAGTTAGAGAATTTCGTTGTTTTTTTTATTTATTTTTTCATTATTTAGTTAATTAATAAATACTACTTGTTTTAAATTTATTTCAAAAAGCTTTTATTAAAAATACATACACATTACATACTAAATTACGAAATTTAAGCTATTCATTACTTCGTTTCTTTTTGATATCCCAGTTTGTTCATCCTGATTTTCATTTCCTGCATCTCGCCCTGCTTGTCCAACAATTACTTCATTGTGTGCTTCTGGTGCTGGCGGAACTTCAAAATCATGTAAACTGTCTTCTATTGAAATGTTGTGCAATACAGCACATGCCCCTATGAAGTGAACACATAACTCGACATTTCTTAATTTCAAATGGTAAAGTTGTCTGAATTTTTGTTTGAGTATGCCGGCTAATCGTAATCCGGTTTGGGAGATATGTCCCGTAAGCTTGCAGCTTCATTGCTTGCATACCATAAAAAGTCCACAACTGTTTTAAAAGGGCTGATTTTTTTAGAGTCACCTTTTTGGTAGTGATAGTATTGCGAAGCTTCATATCTGTTGGATAATTTAGTTGCTACTTCCCCGCTTATCCTAAAATGCCCCAAAAACTGTTGATCGTTGAATTGGGGCAAAGTTTCCTCAAAAAACTTCTCATTTTTTGGAACTTCAAACAATTCCTTCAATTCTTCCAAATCTTCGTCACTTGAACTTAAATGCATCATTGGCATCATCTTGAAAGTAGATTTAAGATAAATGTTTGTTTATATCACAAAGACACAGAATTATAGGTTAGGATCTGTTCTGAATTTTAAATCCCTCCGTCTATCACCGGATCTGTCGAACACATTACGAGCACGTTCAGAACTTAACACAGTTGTACCACGAACATCGAATTTTTAATCCCGAGTAACAAATTTTGTAACCGCGTACGGTCTTTTTTTTAGTGCGCATGCGATGATAAGATGAAGGCGTCCGGGATTCGCTCCGCGAAAAAAGCTAATATGAGTTTGTAGACCAGGGTCCAAAGAGGACGAAGTTGGGAGAGCGGTGAGCCGCGTGCGCGCTTTGAACTGGTGGGTTTGGCCTGGAAACGGGGTACACCTGTTCTATTTACTTCGACGAGGCCTTCACATAATTGAGATCGAACATCACTTACAGGTAAGGTCGTTTGAACATGTAATTGTAATTAAAATCGGTAATAAGGTGAGTGCCAGTACGTGAAGAAATAAGATACCTTTGAGTTAAGGTTAACAAGAGGCTGTCGGCAAGATCTCACATCAACGCTCGCCTACGTAAAGCTAAAGCAGCACTTGCGTTGTTGGACCCCATAATTGGATGCAAATTAAATGTCGACGTTAATGTGAAGGTGCGAGGTAATTGACGCTTGTGCTACTCCCATTTTGTATTATGAAACTGTGGAACTTCAAATAAGGTTGTGTCGGCCAGTGTTGAATACTCTCGAGGTCTGCTTGAAGAAAGCGGATAAGGTTGCAGCGAGGTTTTCGCGTTGTTTTCCATCGAATCAACTTTGGGAAATGCAAGGCTACTCACCTAATTGTGGTGCTAGGAAATCCCTAACTAGCAAAGCCTTTTAGAGTCAAAACAGGACCTAGCTTGGAATATAATTATTCTGACTATAGAATCTTCTTCGTAGAAGGGCGGACTGCACAAATGCTACAGTTAATATCGATTTACTATACGTACTCATATATTCGCAACCAATCCATGAAGCTACCTCTGCTCTTAGAGCGCTTTCAAAAATCCTCCCCTCCTTAGGATCGCCAAACCGAATTAATAATACAAGTCAGGTGGTGCCGCATATCAAGCTGAATTGCCTTGACAAGGCAGTATGTAGGGTATTGTCGGGAACAGTGGCTCAGTCGGGTACAGTGGCTCCATTCAATATCTCCAAAACGAGAGAGACTATCTATCTGTCGCAGTCATCTACATCAAGTGTTTACGACACAAATGCGCATGAACCAGTCGGTCAGCAACTAAAGCACTGATAGCACGCGTCTCGCCTTTGTGTTGGTTTTCAGGTACCCAAAATTACATTTCCAGGTAAGTTTGACTTTAAAATTCTAGCTTAATTGCTGTAGTTTATTATTTATTTATATTTTGTAGTAAAGTAAGTAGAAGCAAGATAATTTTAACTTTGCTTAGAACAGCCAGTGCAACGTGAATATGGCACAGAAGACATATATTTCAAAATGGCGTCACGGTCGACAGTGGCTCAGCATGTGGAAGTACACAGTGGTTCACGAGCCACTGTGTACTATTAGTGAACCATTGTGTACCGCTTACTTGAATATTTGTTTCAGAATGCCTCGCAAGAAACGGGCAATGAGAAAAATTGGCAACAGCTCCGCTGCAGACGTTAAAGCTGGGGTACTATTAATAAGGCAGGGTATGTCTATCAGAAAAGCAGCTACGAGTTGTGGTGTGCCATTTACTACCCTGAAGAGGTATTATTGGAAAACTGCTGGTTCCGAAAATCTCGATGAGGAGCGATTCGAGCCGAATTATTCTGTGAACCAGATCTTTACCGCATCCCAAGAAGAGAAGTTGAAGGAATATTTTTCGCATTGCGCTCTTCTGTTTTACGGATTAACTGCAAGAGAATGTCGTCAAGTGGCGTATCAATGTGCTAAGCTAAATAATATAAAGATGCCTAAATCTTGGACAGACAATGAAATGGCGGGTAAGGACTGGTTAACTTTGTTCAAACGTAGGAACAGGTTTTCTTCCAGGAGACCAGAACCTTGTAGCCTAGCAAGAGCTACAGCCTTCAACCGAAACAACGTCAATAATTTTTACAATAATTTAGAAGATCTGATCAAGAGAAACTCGGCTTTTGCAAATGGTACCCGTATATTTAATCTGGATGAAACATCAACGACAACAGTGCAAAAGCCTCAAAAAGTAATAGCACCATTAGGCAGAAAATGCATTGGAAAAGTCACAAGTGGTGAGAGAGGAACTTTGGTAACCACATGCTGCATTGTAAGTGCCAGCGGCAACGCTTTGCCACCAGTTATGATATTTCCTAGGAAAAAATTCAAAGATCATATGATCAAAAACACACCTGCAGGAACACTCGGCTTAGCAACGCCTAGTGGATGGATGAACGCGGATAGTTTCACAGAAGTAATGAAACATTTTATCAAGCATACGAACTCTTGCAAAGAAAATCCTAGTATGTTGGTAATGGATAAGCACGAGTCACATTTGAGCATTGAAGCCATACAGTTGGCAAAAGATTGTGGAGTCAATCTCCTCACAATTCATCCCCACACTTCGGGGAAATTACAACCACTTGACGTGGGAGTATTTAGCGCGTTCAAAGTATATTATAATGCTGGCATCGATTCCTGGCTTATGACACATCCTGGAAAGCCTGTTACCATATATGACTTAGGTGAAATCATTGGGGCAGCCTTTCTTAAAGCAATGACCCCAACAAACATTACCAGGGCTTTTGCAAAATGTGGTATTTACCCATTCGACAGAAACCTTTTTACAGACGAGGACTTTCTGCCAAGTACAGTAACAGATCGTCCAGGTCCCTGTTCAGACTGTTTGCCACGTGAAGAAGGGCTCATAAACGTAAACATCAATTCAATGAATGTCATCGAGTTGGGAGCACCGGAAGAGACCACTACTGCGCACTCATCGGAGCATTCTATTTCACAGACTTGTGCAACATCAGAAAAACCATGCTCACCAACGTTGGGTACTTCGACGACACAACCAAGTCAAATTGAAACCACTGTTGTGTCTATCAACCATCAATCCATTTCTAAAGAAGTGGAAACGAAGAACCTGTCCGATGAAGATTCAATTTTGACAAAAACAAAAGTATCCAATACCGTTTCAGTTCCATCAGGACTCCAGTCATTAAAAATATTAGCTCCTGAAGTGCTCATATCAGCAATTTCTTCGAACAAACTTCCACCCAAGCCATATATAATTACCCCGACACAAGACGTTGCTTTGACACCATCCATTTCTCAATCAGCTGAGAATACTTTTACATCTCCGTTTGAGTTTAGAGACCCAATAAAGGCTGGACCTAGAACAACTACCCGCAAGCGAAGGAAACCAGGCCGTAGCATGATTCTTACTGACACACCGGAAAAAGTTCGTCTAGAACAAGAAAAAATAGCTGCTAAAAGTAAAAACACTAATAAGAAGGGAAAAGTCACTCGAAAAGTATTACAAAGTGATGAAGAAGATAATGATCAAGAGAAGGAAACAGTGGAATATGCTGAATCTGATGATGATACAGACTGGGCAGCAGAAGATGAAGACGAAAACTCTGACGAAGAATCAGTGATTATAACTGAAAGGCACCTAACCAAATCTCTAACTCGTGCGCCACTAGAGGGCGAATATGTGATTGTACAATTTACAACAAAAAAACTTACATCGCTTTACGTTGGAAAGGTGATAGAAGGTAGAAATGAGAATAATGAATTCTACATATCATTTCTGAGGCGTACGCCTGGTACTAGCAAATTTCACATGCCTGATAAGCCTGACCTTTCTGTTATAAAAGAAAGTGATTTGAAATTACTTCTGCCAAAGCCTTCAATTGTTGGCACTTCTTCTAGGCCGTACTATAATTTTGGACTAGATTTATCCCAACTTCGGATATGCTAAGAGGTATAAGGGTTATGGAGTTATTAATTTTTATTTTTGACTTGTTCTACAAACTTTCATCATTCGATGAGCTTAAGGAGTAAGATTGGTTTTTGTCTCTGATTGTAATAAAAGTTTTTTTTAACATTATAAGTACAAAAGAATACTTACAAAGTAATGTGTACATTTGTAAGTTAAGTAGAAGACTTAATTTTATTTGCTTGCTGATTATTATTATTGTTATTATTTATGCTTACGATGAGACTTATTAAAGTAGAAGTTCTTCAGTGTTTTGTAAGGCAAATAGGAGTCTGATGTATGTGTGATTTTGATTATTTCAATGTTAACAGCTACGATGCGCTCATTTTGTTTTTTAATATAGTAATGGGAATAAGTTTATTTTGATCAGTGTTTTTTCCGAGATATTCAAATGTGACTCAGAAATAAAGATTTCAACAGCATTCCCGTACTTTTGATTAACTCGGTTTGTCTTGAGTCTCTGTGTACTGTTAGAACCACTGTGGACCACTGGGGTGTGTCACTGTAGCACCCTACCTGTGCACAGTGGCTCATTTCTAATTTTTTACAAAATCATTATTGGTTGTTTTTTGGCACCCTTTGTGGACATTTCGATGGCACAGGATAAAAATTTCATAACCTCTGCCCACATTGGCCGAGTTTCAAGCCATTTGGTGAAGACTCGATGAATATTAGAGTCAACTGAAAAAAAGTGAGCCACTGTTCCCGACAATACCCTACCTTAAGTTATAACCCATGTGGGAAAAATTAGCCTTGACTGAAAAGTAGGCTTCTATAGGGTGATTCCTTAAATAAATATTACAACAGTCTTGGGTTGAACTCTTGCGTACGCTTTACTCGCATGTTTGCATCAATTTTTGATGTTCCCCAGGTCGTGATATTGAGAGAAGGGAATTCATAATATCAGGATGTTATCAAGTCCAGAATATGTAAAACAGTGTAAAATAACGAATAAAAATAAATACATGGTGTGTTGAAGTATAAAAATAAAAAAACAATTTTTGTTTCAAAATCGTTAACTGCAAATGAACTAAAATTTGGTATGTGGATATACCTGAGTCTTTACTTAAAATTAACGTACACCAGTACGGACATACAGGGGACTAGTGGCATTATTTCTCCAAATAAAAATAGTACGCTAATGTTTTTTTCGAAACTCAATGCAATTTTTAGAATTATACCTTTAATTTGCTACAAATAAGAGTTTTTCCCTAGAGCGCACTGTTTTCGTAAAAATAAAAATAAACAAATTAGATCATTCACGAAGAGCCTAGATACAATTAGTTCCAAAATAAAATAGGAGGCCTTGATACCAAATTGACGTTTCTTGAGAGATAGTTTGTCAAAGTTATGTGTTATACGCTTGTTATTGTTACTACTACAATTTTTTTTAAGTCAAGTCAAAAGTTTCTTTTTTTAATTTTTGAGTGTTGTAAAATGGAATTTAGCATTGATAAGTAGGGGAGACCGGGGCTAGTTGACACAATTTTCATTAATTCTTTTTCATATCCGATCTGAAGCGTTATATGCACATATTTGGTGCATAACTAATATGGTTTATCCTTGAGAACACTATTTAAAATCGATAAGGCTGTAAAATAATTCACAACAATAAATTAAAATGTTTCAAAATACAGAAACAAATGTGATAATTTGCCCCTTGCTGGGGCTGGATGTCACATTGCTTGGTGTTGGTTGTCACGTGTACTTTAGATGACTAATAAATTATGGTATCATACTTTTAAACATATTTATTATGAGAAAATAGTAGAAGAGTTTTTTTACAATTAGTCACTATCGGAGTTATGACATATGTAAAGTTCGCGTCCATCAGTGCACGCATCATGAGACCAACCATTACACGATGAGCATTTCATCCATTCGTCATTTGGCGGGCTGTTAGAAAATGGTTCAAGACAAAGCAAGCAAAAACATTCTTCTCGATCAGTTTCATTATCTGAACAGGACCAGCGTTTTTCATTTTTTTAGATTTCAAAATTTTTTTTTCTGAATCAAAAAGTCTCTTTTCACTGTTTCCCTGTTCCTCTTTTTCTTGTTCCAGCATTTATGCTTCTCTTTCTCTAATTCGTCTTTTACTGGAGTGTAAGTGAGTATTGCACTCCCTCGTTTACGACGGGAAACTCGATTCATTTTTCTTGCCGATGCCTTTGGATAAGGTCTTAAACTTTCTGGAAGTACTATATTTCCCGTATGCAGCCTTACTAAACTACTACAGCAGGGATCATCAAAACTAGTTTGATTAGCTGTGTTGCTCTCTCGTATATTATCAATTGCCTCCTGCGTGTTAATATTCATCAGACTTACAGTTTCGTCTTCGTTCAAGATTTCCGGGTTTGATCCAGTTATTGCTTCGTTCAAGATACCCGGATCTGGCCTATCAGTGACAGAGCTCGCAAGAAAGTCATCATCCGTGAAAATATCTCTGTTGTAAGGAAACACACCCGACACCCGAAATCCAGACTGTATATTTTTGGGAGTAAATGCGGGGGGTATGCAATAGAGATCACTGAAGGTATATCGGATATAGTCATGGTCTTACCGGGATTATTTAAAACCCAAGCATCGCAGGAAGTATTTACATATGTCGTAAAAAGGCCGAAGACGCGTCAAGAGGTTGAAGTTTATGTGAACAGTGAGGGTAAAAAGAGAGCATGGCAATACCATTTGCTTTGGCAAAATTCAGTCCTTCTATACTCAGATGTGATCCATGGTTATCTAGTAAAAGCAGGCACGGTCTTTCCACAGTACGTTTCACATGAAGGTGAAATATCTAAGAAACTCCAAGAAATGTGACTCTTTCATCCAACCTGATCGGTTTGCAGAACCTTGTGAGCCAGGAGGAGCCGAATTCAAAAAGTGTGGTTTGAAATGTACCCGTGGAAAAATGAAAAAAGGAGGTATGGAATTTCCAATAGCTGATACTGCACTTGCTAAAGTAAGAAGGGTTCCTCTTTCTGATGAAACTATCGAACCAACCTGTTTGAATCCTCTTCTGGCAACAACGCTGTCGGGTCTTTGGACAGTTGTAATCCCAGTGTCGTCCATGTTCCAGATTTCGTGAGGCTCAAATTTATGTTTTTCCATAACTGAAGCTAAATTATTAAAAAATGCGTTGACGTTCGTTTTATTGAAACTACTCGCTCTTGCTGAACTAGTTGCTTCCGGTTTGCGAACAGACAGTACTGGATGACGTATTAGAAACGTACTAAATCGGTCAGGACCAGCTATTTTATGGAGCTTCAATTTAGGCATTTTCAAGGAATTAGCATTAGCAAATTCATATGCCAGTCCTCGTACTTTCTTGGGTGATAATCCAAAATAAATATCAGATGCTTTGAGTACATATTCCACTAGATGATTTTCAAGTTCAGGCGAAAATACTAAATGATGTTTGATGTAGCTAACTGGAATTGACAGCGCAAGAACTTGATCATCAAGTAATTCAGACTCTGGAATTTTCTTACAGTATCTTGCTAGAGTACGGTAATTTACATTGAAGTCAGCTGCCGCTTTTCTTATTGAGGATCCTAGTCTCACTAATTTAGCAGCTCTTAAAAGTACGACAGGCGGCGCTTTGCCCTTCTCAGTCTTCCTTTTGAAATTTCGAACCATGCTTATGTAACCTGAATATATTAAAAAGATACATTATATACATACACCTATGTAGAATGATGTGCAAAGCTAATCGTCTAGTATGGGGGCTGGTTGTCCCATGTGACAAGAGGCCCCAGCTAATTTGAGACAACCTGCCCCACTAGATTATTAATTTTTAAGGTTAGATAGCGTCACTAAATTAACAATTTCAAAGTCAATACTTACGTTAAGTCGTATTCGGATTATTGAAGAGCAAAATAAATTCAACAGTTCTTTTTATTATCAAATGTAGTCTTGAAAACACAAATTATGTGGCAAACGAAAAATTTACTCAGGTTAGGCGATTTGTTTATTTATGTATGTGCGACCTTAATCTACCAGCGACAACTTTCGTACTGAATGCAAGTGTTCTGCGCGGACGCAGAAACGATGTGTAGCGCGCCAGGCAACTACATGCTGAGCTGCTGAGATTTAACAATTGTGACAACCAACCCATGTGACAACCAGCCCCGGTCTCCCCTACGCCGATATTACTTTTGTGTACAGGTTCTGTAATGGAAATGCTGTAGTGACTTCTCGGGAATATTAATGTAGATTTCCTAACAAACGCCAAGCTACTACAAAGGTTTTTACGCGTTCATTTCTAAGGCTTCGGCAATCTGGAATTGCCAAGTTGCCCGGAGGTAGAGACCATGATGTCCGGCATAGTGTCCAAGAGGAACTGGAAGTGATTAATTTGGCGTTGGATGATCCTAGTACAAGTACTAGGCGGATTGCAGCCCAGTTACCATGTGCCCAAGGTCTTGCGTGGATAATTTTGAATCGGGAAGACTCACATCCTCACCATCAGCAAAATGGCAAAGGGAGAAATTTTTGTCAGAGGTTAATGCAAATGCATAGTCAAAATGCAGATTTTTTTGATTTGATTTTGTGGCCAGATGTATCGTTTTTTGCGGGGAGCTAGAAATGTCTAATGCGGCATTTTCAATTTCCAACTGCTTATGCAAGTATTGCCACAACATTATATGCACACTCATACATATCTTTTCTAGAGAATTACATAGAAAATGTGTTAGATGATGTTCCGTTAGCAACGAGAGTACGAATGTGTTATCAACACGACGTTGCCCCACCGCATGTTCGTCGTGATATAACCGCATGCTTATATAATAATTTTAGACAAATTTTTCCGAAATACGTTTTTTTCAATCAAAAAGCTGTATTGTTTCCATCATAATGGTGGTATTTTTGAACATTTTTATTGAAATAAAGCTTTGATTATCTAACTTGTTTTTTTTACGAATACAATGCACTTTAGGAACGAACACAGGAGTAATGATTTGTAGCAAATTGAAAGTAAAATTCGA